TTACTGTTTTTCCATTGCATTTTGTCTTGTAATCCTTTACGTTTCTCCACTATACTGAAAAAGAATGCTGTACAATATTGTTTGCGGCTAGGACAGAAGAAAAAGTAGGAGTGTTGCATCAAAGTATCTCTAAGCTGTGAATTATTCTTTCTTATTGAAAAATCTGTCCAATCAAAGCAGACCACTGTTCAAGTTAGCAGTGTAATTTATATGTTGTATTTATTCAGTGGATACTACAGAATTTATTTCCAGAGATTCAGAGGGCTGCAGCCTCGGTCAATGCTATAAAAATAGCATTGTAAAACCTGAGCTGTAAAGTTAAGCATTTCATGTAGTAACAAGGATATCACAAAGTTTATCTAAAATAGCTCAGATCTATTTACTTACATAGGTCAGCTATCCTGTGGCTCTGGTTTAGCCATCTTTCTTTCTTTTGAATTAATTTAATTGATTTTTTTTTCCTTGAAAGCTTTAACAGGAGATGCCTTCATTTTTAGATCATACCAACTGACTAGCCTGGAGATTTGAGTGTGTTTCCAAATGTGTTTGCTTTTAATTTCCATTTAAAATATGAAAACACACACACACACACACACACACACACACACACACACACACACACACACACCTTGTTTATGTAGAAGTTTTGCTTCAAGCAACAATGCTGGAGGAAAGCTCCTAAAGATCATACTTTCTCATTTTCCAAAAGTTGGCAAGCGTATAAACTGAACACCCAGTTGAGACCTGGAAGGGAAGGATATATATCTCTGTGGAGCATTGCCTTAAAGGCATAAGGCTATTCACGGATGAAAAGCTATTGTTTCAGCAGGAAAGTGAATTTCCCCTTTCACTGCTGGCCTGCACTGCTGGCCAAAGGCAAGGAGGGAAAACAATTCTTTCTCACGCTCCTATGGAAAGTGAAATGTCATACAAGCCCAACACAACCAACATTTATTTTAGAAGCCAATAAAAGGAATCAATTTGGGGAAGCGTCACCAAAACCCTCTGGGTCACCAACTATTCTTGGTGAACTTTCAGAGAGCTTTTCTCCACAGATCACTTAAATTGCTCTCTGCTCATCCTTGAGCCTAAAGAACTAAACCAGCATGAAAATGCCCGTCTTTATCTATGGTTCTGACTTACTGCCAAATAACAGTGTCTTGGGTGTGCCAGAGCACGTTGAGCGCAGCTGTTGGTTAAAATGTGGCTTTGCTTTTCTTAATATCACTATCACTAGCCAGAAAGAAACATCACAACATTGCTGTGATTAGTGGATGGCTTGGCAAATGGCTAGATACATCAGTTTTGCCAGCTATCATACTCTGTTAGAACTACAGGCATTGGATCGTTGACATATGTAGTGTCAGGACTGTTTGTAAAGCAAGAATGGCTTTAATTTTTAATAGACAGCTTCTCCAACCTATCAGCTGCTGGGTGGGCTTTTCAGTGGATTTTCAAAAGACCACTAAACCAACACTCCTTCCTCACTAGTTGGCCTCCTTTACCACACAAAGCTGAGCTTGTCGATTAGAAAGTTTGGCAGTTCGGCAATTCGAATCCCTAGCACCGCGTAACGGAGTGAACTCCCGTTACTTGTCCCAGCTTCTGCCAACCTAGCAGTTTGAAAGCATGTAAAAAATGCAAGCAGAAAAATAGGAACCACCTTTGGTGGGAAGGTAACAGCATTCCATGAGCTTTCGGTGTTTAGTCATGCCAGCCACATGACCACGGAGACGTCTTTGGGCAGTGCTGGCTCTTCAGCTTTGAAACGGAGATGAGCACCGCCCCCTAAAGTCAGGAACAACTAGCACATATGTGTGAGGGAAACCAACCTACCACACAAATCAAGTGCTAGGTTTGCAGGTATTGGGTTTTGCATGATAAAACAGGAGGAGCTGCTTTTCCTTGTAATAGCCGACAGATCAGCTGTTTTGTTCCAAAAGGAAGCCACCCAAAAGCCTGTGTGTGTGTGTGTGTGTGTGTGTGTGTGTGAAGAGCCTGTCTAGTAAAGCAGTCTTGACAATGCAACCTTTCCACACCATATATTAGACACCCAGGAGGCTCTGAGGAGCTTTAAGTAGGAAGCACCTGGTAGCTCTCCCCTGTTCTATCTCCCTCCAGAAGAGAAATGATCTAAAGGACAGCCGCCTCAGCTCCAGGGGAGGAAGTATACGAAAGACCAGGCTAAATGACAGGTGGTGGGCCATCCTGCCTTCGATGGGTCATCCCTAGAAGACAAACAGGAAGCATGACACATTGCCCTCACCCTTAAACTGCCACCGGTTGCTGCTGACTTAAGAAGAAAACAATATGTTAGTTCCAGTACAGTTAACTACGAAGAGGCTATCTCAAGCTTGAGCTAAGGCATGGTGGCAGAATAAAGATGTTGCCAGAAGATGTTTGCGTGATGCGAAGAAACAAAGAGAGAAAGGCCTTTAGGGAGATTAAATGGAGGAGTCTGAAACTCTGCCAAAGCAGCGGGCAGTTCCTAATACAGAGATAACTCAGCCTGCTAATCTTCAGTGTTTTAGTTTTCAACTCCTTACTTAGCCTTTGCATGGCTGAGCCCATAGCAACACATACTTATCCTGATCTTGCTTCCTATTACTGGATAGAACAGTAATGGCTAAACTTTTTGCCATCGCATGCCAAACGTGGGGGGAGCACAGTGGGGTCGTGCATGGGCGTGCCCACTACCACAATTCTATCCATTCCTGAACTCCCAGGTTGCCCATAGGGCCATTTTTCTCCCTCTGGGAGGCAAAAAATGGCCCTACGGGCAACCTGGAAATCCATTCCAGAATTTCTGTTTTGCGCATTGGGTTGACAAATGGCTCCATATGCCACCTGTGGCACGCATGCCATAGGTTTGCCATCACGGAGATAGAAGAATTGCATCCTAATGGCATTGGGGGAAGGGTGGGAGAAAGGAAGAGAGCAAAAAGATTCTGAGAAGAGGCCATTTAAATTTAAACTCTAGCAAGTCTCCCTTCAAAAAAAACCCAGCCACACAGTGCACAAGGATTCCAGACATGTGAGCCAACTTAGTAAAAGTCATAGTCAGAAACGAAAGTGATACCTCTCCCCGTAACAAGAGGCAGTCTTTTGGCCACCTAAATAAAAGGTGGCACCTTTTATTTAGGTGGCCAAAAGACTGCCTCTTGTTACGGGGAGAGGTCTACTCTCCTCCTGCCCACTCTGGATCCTCTACTTCCAGAGCTCATGGGGAAGAAGCCCTAATTACAACAGCACAACAAAACCCAACACAAACTCTAATCCATCTCACTGTTTTGTACTTTACAAACATTATAAAGAGATTACACATGATTAGCAATAGAAAGGACAAATGCTTGCTAAACAACAGGAAGAGATAATCAATCTTGATCCTCTGTCAAGGCTCAGGCACGGTCCAATTGTCAGCTGCCTTGCAGTTGCAAATAAAGGGTATGTCTATTCCAGTATGGTTTGCCTATTCATTGTTTGACTCCTGGGAGTCATATAATGAAGCCGAAGCCATCTCAGTAGCAAAAATATGCTAAACAGGAGAAAATTCTCTGGACGGGTCATGCTTGTGGTATACATGGAAATGGCACAGAGGCTGTCCAACCAATTAAGATTCATGTGAACCCTCATTATAGGAGATCAAGGTTCAGATGGCCCAATATTTTTCAGAAAATTACACTTCTGGCTATTCTGAAGAATCACACATTCTTTACCAAAAACAATTTTGATCTGTACAACTAGTTTAATGTTGCGTTCTTTGCATTGCCATGGACCAAAATATTCTACATGGGGCTCCTAGCTTCTTTCATAGTCAAGAAAAAGTATGCCTTTAACTCAGTAAGAAGCATAGTACAGATGTTCCTCGTTTAATGACTACTCATTCAGCAGCCATTCAAACTTGCAGCTTGAATGAGTGGTAGTTACAATGGGTCCTCAAAATTCTGACTGTGACAGCACCCCACAATCATGACTGTGAAGCAAGCACTCTGTCACCAGCTCAGAATTCTGATTGTTGCAGCTCCAGTCACATGATCATAATGTGTGACTTTCACAAGCAAACTCAATGGGGAAACCAGCAGAAAGCTGCGATCATGTGTGGGCCTCATGTAACAACACCCCATCCTTGCTCAATGTTGGTAATTGGGAAATGCTGAAACAGCTGTTGCTAAGCAACTTGGACTTGTAATATTACACTTTACCTTGCTTAGTGACAGTGTTCCCAGTCCCAATTGCCATCATAACCCAAGCACTATCTGTGTGCAACAACTTCATAGAGATTTCTAAAATTATCAAAATCCCCTCCATCATAATAAAACTGAGGTTTATGTACAACTAGATAGCAGAGCGAGGCATCTATTCTAGTCATTGCAAAATATTTCCACCTGCAGCTCAATCCTAGGCATGCTTATGCAGAAGTAAATCTATCACATGTGTTTTTGTTGCAATCTTTGATTTGTTATTTTAATCCTCCCTTCCTTAAGACACACCCACATTCAGTTTAGTGCCTGCCTTTTTCATTTGCATTTAAAAACTTCAGGCTGAAAAGGAGTAACTGTTTCAAAACACACAGGAATTTTAACTTAATACTCCTGACTGTAGCCTAGAGAAGGAAGACACTCATTTTTATCAGAAATAAATCTTTGGAAATTTGCAACATTGTGCTTTCCTGAGTGAATGACATCTACTCATATAAGGGACAAAGTTCACTCAGGGGAAGTTACTGTCTGTTTTCCGGTGACCAATTTCAATGAAGCTCACAATCATCTCATTATATTTTAAGGAAGGCTTAATATAGAGAAAAATAAAACTCCTGAGAAAATGGGGATACTTATTTACCTGTTCAGAAGAGAAAAAAATGTGAATCGTAACAATAATTTGGGAGAGAAGTTGAAAGTCAATGAGATTCCTTGTGCAATGTGTATTGCAAAAAAAAAGTACTTATTTACACACACAGCCTGTTTTAAGTATCCAAAGGACTCCATGTCCAGACACCTTACCTTTGTGTAAACGTTGATCTGAAAGAGACTCCCTTTCTGGAGACAACCCATCTTCCAGCTTTGTCTACATAAGAAACCAAACAGACTGATGAGTCAAGGTATAGATTCTCAGCTCCTATAGAATAGAATAGAATAGAATAGAATAGAATAGAATAGAATAGAATAGAATAGAATAGAATAAAACAGAACAGAACAGAACAGAACAGAATAGAATAGAATAGCATTCTTTTTCGGCCAAATGTGATTGGACA